AATGCCTGGTTACTTGCAACATAGAAAAGCTCAATACAACTAGGTAGTCATACAAGTTAGCACAGAATTAATGAATACCAGTTTGTCCCTCACCAATGAGCTAACTTTGGAAATATCTCCATGTAGTCTCTATGTTAGCCTATTAAATAGAATCACTTTTCCACATCTACTTGTAATTCCTCATGTGACTACAGCCTTTTAAGCTGTGTTTCCACACAAATATCCTGTACCAGTCCAGGCTCTTACAAGGAGTGCTTGCAAGGGGTGCTGGCTTTGTCTTGTTAGCACTGCATTCATGTGCCAGGCATTGCACATAGTAGACAGTCAGGAAATATTCATTGAATTAATTAATGTTAAAAAACAGCATTTTTTTACAAAATGCTTCTTACAAAATTAGTGACCTGTTTTTATTAACTCCTATGCTTACTCATTAAAGAATGGTTGGAAACATTTTTGTCTTTTTACAAGAATTTACAACTGAGGAAACTGTATTTGTGTGATTGAGGGTTTATTTTAGGTCACACAATGTACCGAAAGCTGATCTGCTATCTTTGTTCCCATTCAGGACTCTACCCACCTTCTGTAAACACTAACACTTCTCGATAGAATGACCATATAATTTATCTTCCAAACAAAAAAACTTGACAGTGAAAAAGGCAGACTAACTAAGCATGACCAAGGGGCGCAAATCAGGATATTCCCAGGATAGGTGGTTACCCAACTTCTTGATACCCTACTATGTGCCTACCATTATGCTAAGTCTTGAGGGAAAAAAAAGCGAATATGTCTGCCTTTATAGTTGACAGAATGGTAGAGTCATGGGTGAAATGCACCAGCACAAAGTAAATTCCGACTTCATTCACCTCCAAAAGTCCCATTTCTTCTACCAGGTATTTTCATTCTAGATAGGAAGGCTGAAAAACACTATGCTTTCTGGTCATGCTCAATTCCCACCTGGTGCAGTCTTTATTAATCTTTGAAGTCTTTGTCCCAATCTATTCAAAGATATTAACTGTCAATAAAAGAAAACACGAATTAGAAAGTAAACTTCTAAAACAAATCCACTTCTTCAGTAATTTAAAAAGTAAAAATATAGATTCTAAGACAAAAATCAAGTCATTTTTCTAATTTACCTTTTTATTAAGGTATCACTTATACAATGTGCACATTGAATTTTTACTGCCTCCTAGAGCCAGACACAGAACAGTCTTGATACCTCAAGAAGGCCTCATTGTGACTGCTTGGGAAGCCACTGTGAATGATTTCCAGATCAAGTTGCTATTCAAAACTTATTGTCATATTTTATATTTGGGCTCAGGCCCTTTGAATCCAAAGGCTCCTGCAAAGCCTATAGCAGCAGGGACTGGTAGTTTCTTGCCATGACTCCATAGAAGGTAGGTAAGAAATTGAATGGGAAAGGAGCTAAAACTGCAAGACAGGAGGATAAACAAAGAGAACAGGCACTGCCCAGCTCCTTTTCTCCTCATTTTCCCCAGAAAAGATAAGCATCTAGCTATGTGCATGTTTAACATCCTGTTCTCAATAAAATTAGTAAATAAAAAGTTTAATTGTGCACTAGCAGGGAGGCAGGCAGCCAGGCACGTGCTAGAGACTCCCTGTACCTTGTTGAACACTCACAACCACCCTATAAAGTGGAGACCAGTGTCATTGTTTGTTTTACAATTGAGGAATCTGGGGACCTAGAGATATCAAGCAATTTACTCAAAATCATACAATTTGTAAGTACTGGAACCTGGATTCAAACCTTATATGCCATTATACCAGTTTTCTGCTAGAAATGTGTTTGCTGTTGTAATGCAAACTTATCATCTACAGAGAAAGAGATGGACTTAGTTGTTCTGGAGGCGCTTTCCAGCTTCAAAACTAGGATTTCACGAGAATAATTTTTAAGTCATGGGTAAATTATACAAGAAATTTCTTAAATATGGTTTCCCTTCACATTCTTTTGAATATAATTCACAAGGAGACAAAATACAATAATGTTTAAATGTATAAAGCAACATATTATTTAACCTTTCTAAATCAGACTCATTCTTTCCCTAGGAAGTCAAATCTCCTGAGTGATTATAAACTGATATTTGGTCATTGATTTTGCTGCCAGTTGGTTCACAGGGGTTATCCCTGTTCTTGTCAAAGATTGCTTCTACTTTTGCCCTTTTCCAGTATTCAGGTTTATCACTTCCCCTTCCTAAAGACAAAGAGATTCCAAAATCTCATGAGATTTCTGGAATTCACTCTGGAGAATTCTCAACTTCATAAAGGGATCAAAACAAATCTGCCATGGAGCACCTACCCGAGGAGCTCAGAGAACTCTCCAAGGATTCTTTTGGCAGATGGGCTTTTGCAGATCTTGTATGCTAAGATGGGGTAGAGAAGGGAAAGAGCTGGAGAATGGGGTGTGAATTCTCTGTCACTTTTTAAAGTAACAAGTTCCTCTAGAGAGCAACTTGGTTCCTCTAGAGAGCGACTCATTACCTTCAGAAAGACTTTCCTAAATTGTGACTTATTCTATCAACACTCTTCTTAGTATTGCAAAGTGACTTAAACCAATTTGACCTTCACAACTGGCTGGTCATTTTGGTAAATATCAGTAGCCTCTACCAATAAGAGAGAAGTCAAGAACCATATCTCCTTGTAACCTGGCTATCAGGTTTGCCCATTATCTAAGAAAGCAAATCTCAGACTCAGTCTGTCACTCATACAAATATCAAGGGGCCAGCAACCACAGAAGTAGGCATGCAGCCCATTCTGGGAGCTTTGTGAAGTCCATCTCACTGTCCTTTGGGCATTCGGACAACCACCTTAGGAAAACAAAAGTGTCCTGAGGCAGAAGTAATGGTGCTGTCACAGTAGGATCAACTTTCTGGTCAGGAAAGGCAATGGAGTTTCCTGTTAATTTGTGGAGACCAGGAACAAATGGGTCTTAGAAATAGAGCACCTTTCAAAGGGTGTTAGGTTATTGGTTTCTTAATATTTTTAAATTTCTTTCTAGAAGTACCTGTTCTATATTTCTAGCCAATCTACATGTCTTTAACATCACTCAAGTTATCACTGAAAGAATATCTCTAACTTCCCTCATGCAAGCTAATGAATTCTAGTGTATGTTCAGAGAGCAACATTTAAAGTACTTACTGCCTCTGGGGTATCAGTTCCTGAATAGGGATTTTCAAATGCTAAAGAACCACTGAGGTAATGAGTATTTCTGCTCCTAGGATATATATTAAAATAACTTATGAATATATATCATATTCTCTATGTATTTAAAGAATGTTAAGAACTTTAAATTACAAGCAATGTAATACTTGATGTGTGTTTTGCATTTTTTGGCTTTGACTATTGAGATAATGGTAGGAGGGAGTCTCCAAACTCTCTCCTCCTCCACCTCCATTCCCAGGAGCAGAAGCTAAGATATAAGCCTTGGGAAAAATAAAGTCATCAGGGACATATATATGAACCTATATATTTTTCTAGGTCATAAATACTTAGTGGAAAGGCCATAGAGGAAACACTTTCTTGTAGAACTCTGTTCCTCTGCAATCTCCCTTACATACTGTTTTTTCTATTGCCCTCCTCTTTCCTCCTTGCAGCTAGCCAGTGTGGTAACTGAGGCCTGGAAGTATCTCTCATCTTTTAGATGACAGACAAGACCTGGATACAACCAGAAAAAGGGAAACTGGGGTTAGGGCCAGTTCTGTTTGGAAAATTAAGGAATCTTGATCTCTCTCTCTCTTTCTCACACTTATCTCCTTCTCTAGTAATTAAGTGAGCTCCAAAGCCTCATAAGGACCTTGGCAAAAAGGAAATAGAAATGGGCCCTTTTCACTACTTCACATCTAGACATTAAAATAAAAAAGTAGAAAGAGTTATCAAGACTCACAGTGATCTCACAAAGATGAACAACCAGGAGGGATTTAGGGCCCAATCTCCAGATAGTCATAAGGTATGCAAATACCTGGAGCATCCTCAGGATTCTAGCAAGTGCAATCCTACAGTGGCTGTCAAGACCCCACTTTGCACCTATGGCATAATGCTACATACACCTTAGGCACTCATCCCTGTCAATGATGAATAGTTCTTGCCATTTAAAGTCTATCCGAGCAAGAGTTATGACAAACAAGAGAGAAAAAAAAAAAAATGAACCAATGGATACGCCAGTAAAACTCAAACTTGTCATGGCAAGTATAAAATGTTAAACATTCTGTAATCATATCACCACTGCATTTGTTAAAATGCCAGCTCCCAGAATATATGTCACTGAGTGAGATCAGGCAGCTAGTAGCCTCCAAACTAAAGTGTATTTAAAAGATAAAACACATTATTATTGAGCCATCTAGATTTCTAGCAGAAAAGTCTTCTCAATTCCAGATGTCATATTGTTATGAGCATTCCTCAACCGTGTTTTCCTGGACTGTTCCCTTTATTCATTTCAATCTGATCTGCTTAGGAGAAAAAAATCATTGTTCACATAATCTCTGAGAACAGAGAACAAATAGACTCAGGAAAGAGAGCTCAGAAATATTCAGCTGGTTATTATTTTAATACTATAGCTGGAGCTTTGCCCCTCTTTTCTCTTTGAATCTCTCCCACAAACAACAAGATGTACTTTAGAACTAATTACACAAATACCAGCTTAAACCTCATTGTATTCTACAACAGCCTTCAATTATGGTACTGTATTTGGAAGAGAGCTTTGTACTGCCTCAAAAGCTCCAGTTGGAAAGAGAATGTGCATGTCTAGAGAATTTCATGCTATGTATTAAATATTAATGCTCTCAAAGAGACCTTCAGAACTTTAAAAATGTAGTTATTAAATGTAGCTATTAAAATGTAGTTATTAAATGTAGTTATTAAAAGTATTTTTAGGCATTTTGAAAATGTTTAAATGATTGGAGATGAATATTAATTCTTACAACAAGTTACCTATATTTAGCAATATTTTACTGAATAAATATAAATGGATATTTGTATTTCAATTACAGAAAACACACCGCAACTGTTGGATACAGAATCATTATGAAAATAAGAAAACACTAAGAATTCTAATCAGAAAACTGTAAACAGGGAAGTAACAAAGATGAACTGAGGCATTTTTGCTGAGTGGCATTTTCTTACTGTAGGAAACCCAACGACAGTTTAGCCCTATTCTAATGGGAACTCATGCATTGTTATTTATTAATCAGGTCTATTCTGGTTCTGACACTCTCAACCAAGTTTGACAGCAGTTTTTCCCATACCCTGGGAGCACTTGAGGCATTTTCAAAATATATGAGTGATCCTTACTATTTGGATATCTGAAAAGGCAGGATTATAGTCAACTATATATGGACTGAGAAACTCCACAATAAAATGTTCATCCCAGAGCCACATTTTTAACCTCTCCTGCTCCCAATTTTTCACCAAAATTATATAACCAATGTAATAGGAAAATTCCTATATCTCTGAGGGAATTGCAAGTCCCATGAAAAACATGACATTTTGAGTGAATTCTACAGGAAATATGACAAGAAAAAATCAGAGAAATGTCAAAACCTATCGTTCCTTATTAGCAGAGAGGAACCCAACCAAACAAAAAAATTGACTTTCCCACCATTCACACTAAAATCCCTTCAATCAGAAGATGAGATGGGGATGAGAGGGGATGGAGCAATAACTGTGAGAAGACCCCCCCATCTTACCTGAGCCTTCAGATGGATGCAGGAATTCGTATAGAAGAGGAAGGGGTGCCCATGAACTTCCCACAACTCACAAAGGTTTTATGATTATGAAGCATTGGCAGAAATCTTGTCTTGAAATTTTCATTCAACAATGTGGGTTATACAAATCAGAAAAACTTTGGGAAGATGAAGATATGAAATATAAAATAAATTTTAGAATTATGCTAATGATTATTGATGTTTCGAAATGTTTTTTGAAGATGCATAAAAATAATCTTGATATACAATTTTAGATTATGTCAATGAATTCTGGAAAATGGGAGGGAGAAGGTAAATGTGTACATAAGTATTCAGTTTTCTCTGGGGGAAGCCACTAGAAGCTACTTAATTGTTGAAGTTGATACTAAAATATATTATACATATATTTAAAGTTATCCAACAATGAGTGTAAAACATCTAAGTAACTCAAAAAAAATGAAGAAAATATAATCGACTCTCAAAGATTGGTTTATATACATTTGATTCATTCTTTCATTAAATTATAGTGAGATGAAATACACAAAGTTGTTAGTAGTGACAGTAATCTCCCTTCTTTAATGGGATTTTACTGGAAACAATACTACCAGGAAGCAACAGAAGGTTGGCTTCTGGAATATTTTACCATCATGTCACTTAGCATAGACATGTTGTGTGAATATTAATATAGCCTGATATCAGGTTGTTCGCAGCAGTGACCTTCAAGCATGCTAAGTATTCTCCACAAGCTTGAATTTAGAGAAAGAGATCTAACAGCCAAGAGTCTAATTTCTTCTTTATGATAGAAAAATGAGGGAACTGAGGGAATGAAGAGGTGCTTGGTCTCTTCTATGGATCATTCATTTAATACTAAGTGTATTGTTAATTTAACCATAGTTATCAAAATACTTAAATATAATATTTCCTCAAAATAGAATAATTGGGAAAATCATTATTCTATGTTTTATAGTTTTCAGTGTAGAGATCTTTCATCTCCTTGGTTACATTCATTTTTAAGTTTTTTTGTAGATATTAATTGCTGCTTTTTCATACAGTTTGCTGTTAGTGTATAGAAATGCTATTGATTCTTGCATGTTGATTTTGTATCCTGCAACTTTACTATATTTATTAGTTCTAATAGTTTTTGGTGGAGTCCTTAGGGTTTTCTATATGTAAGAGTAAATAGTCTGCAAACAGGAACAATTTAACTTTTTCCTTTCCAATTTGAATGTGTTTTATTGTGTTGTCTTCACTAACTGCTCTGGCTAGGACCTCCAGTAATATATTGAAGTGGCAAGAGTGGGCGCTCTTGTCTTGTTCCAAATCTTGGAGGAAAACTTTCACCCTTTCCCCATTAAGTATGATGTTGCTTGTGGGTTTAATATATATAGCCATTACTTGGTTTAGGTGTGTTCCTTTTATATCTAATTGGTTGAGAGTTTTTATCATGAAAAAATGGTTACTTTTGTCAAATGCCTTTTCTGCATTTATTAAAACAGTCATATGGTTTTTGTCCTTCATTCTGTTGATGTGATGCCTCACATTTATTGATTTATGTGTGTTGAAGTATTCTTGCACTCCTGTGATAAATTCCACTTTGACCATAGTGAATGATCTTTCTAATGTGCTGTTGAATTCAGTTTGCCTGTATTTTGTTGAGGATTTTAGCATTTTTATTCATCGGGGTATTGACCTGGAGTTTTCCTTTTTTGTAGTTTCTTTTCTGCCTTTGGTATCAGTATAATGCTGACCTCATATAGTAAGTTCTGAAGCATTCCCTTCTCTTCAATTTTTTAAGCATTTAAGAAGACTTAGTATTAGTTCTTCCTTAACTGTTTGGTAGAATTCAGTAGTAAAACCAGTCAGGTCCCAGACTTTTCTTTAATGGAAGACTTGCTGCTGATTCAATCTCCTTACTCATTTTTAGTCTGTTAAAATTTTCTATTTCTTCATTATTTAGTATTGGTAGGCTGAATGCATCAATAAATGTATTTATTCTAGGTTATCCAATTTGTTGGCATATAATTTATCATAATATCATAATCCTTTGTATTTCTGTTGTATCAGTTGTAGTGTCTCCTTTATTTCATTTTATTTTTCTCTCTTAGCCTAGCTAAAAGTTTGTCAATTTCATCTTCAAAAAAACCAACTCATAATTTTGTTTATATTGTCTATTGATTTTCCCAACTCTCATTTATTTCTGCTCTGATCTTTATCATTTGCTTCCTTCCGCTAACTTGTTTTGTTTTCCTAACTCCTTGAGGTGCAGTGTTAGGTTGTTTGAGATCTCTTTATTTTGATTATTTATGGTTGTAAACTTCTCTTTTACAACTGATTTTCCTATATGTTGTACTTTCACTTTCTTTTTCTTTTTTTCTTTTTTTTTTTTTTTAGAGACAGGTCTGACTCTGTTGCCCAGGCTAGAGTGTAGTGGTACTATCATAGCTCACTGTAATCTCTCCCCTGACTCAAGAAATCTTCCCAACTCAGCTTCACAATTAGCTAGTACTACAGGTAATATCATTTTGCCTATTTATTTATTTATTTATTTTTGGTAGAGATACGGCCTCTTTACATTGCCGTATTTGTCAGTTTTCATGCTGCTGATAAAGACATACCCAAGACTGTGTAATTTAAAAAAGAAAGAGATTTAATGGATTTACAGTTCCATGTGGCTGGAGAGGCCTCACAATCATGGTGCAAGGTGAAAGGCATGTCTCACGTGGCAGCAGACAAGAGAAGAGACAACTTGTGCAGGGACACTCCCGTTTATAAGGTCATCAGATCTCAAGAGACTTACTATCATGAGAACAGCAAGGGAAAGACTTGCCCCCATGATTCAATTATCTCCCACCAGGCATCTCTCACAACGTGGAAATTCATGATGAGATTTGGGTGGGGACACAGCCAAACCATATCATTCCACCCCTGGGCCCTCCCAAGTCTCCTGTCCTCACATTTCAAAAACAATCATGCCTTCCCAACAGTCCCCCAAAGTCTTAACTCATTTCAGTGTTAACTAAGAAGTCCACAGCCCAAAGTCTCATCCATGACAAGGTAAGTCCCTTTTGCCTATGAGCCTGTAAATTCAAAAGCAAGTTAGTTACTTCTTAGATACAGTGGGGGTAGAGTGGGTAAATACAGTCATTCCAAATGGGAGAAATTGGCAAACAAAGTGGCCACAGGCCCCACGCAAGTCCAAAATCCAGTTGGGCAGTCAAATCTTAAAGCTCCAAAATGATCTCTTTTGACTCCATGTCTCACATCCAGGTCACACTGATGCAAAAGGTCAGTTCCCATGGTCTTGGGTAGCTCCACCCCTGTGGCTTTGCAGCCAGGGTATAGCCTTCCTCCTGGTTGCTTTCATGGACTGGTGTTGAGTGTCTGTGGCTTTTCCAAATGCACTGTACAAGCTGTAGGTGGATCTACCATTCTGGGGTCTGGAGGACAGTGGCCCTCTTCTTACAGCTGCACTAGGCAGTGCCCCAGTAGGGACTCTGTGTGGGGGTTTTGACCCTACATTTCCCTTCTGTACTGCCCTAGCAGAGATTCTCCATGAGAACCCTGCCCCTGCAGCAAACTTCTGCCTGGACATCCAGGTGTTTCCATGCATCCTCTGAAATCGAGGCAGAGGTTCCCAAACCTCAATTCTTGACTTCTGTGAATCTGCAGGCTCAACACCACATGAAAGATGCCAAGGCTTGGGGCTTGCACCCTCTGAAGTTATGGCCCAAGCTGTACCTTGGTCCCTTTTAGCCACTGCTGAAGCAGCTGGGACACAGAGCACCAAAAAGTCTCTAGACTGCACACAGCACAGGGCCCCTGGGCCTGGCCCATGAAACCATTTTTCCCTCCTAGGCCTGTAATGGGAGGGGCTACCATGAAGACCTCTGACATGATCTGGAGACATTTTCCCCGTTGTCTTGGGGATCAACATTCGGCTCCTCATTACTTATGCAAATTTTTGCAACTGGCTTGAATTTCTCCTCAGAAAATGGGTTTTATTTTCTATTGCATTGTCAGGCTGCAAATTTTCCCAACTTTTATGCTCTGCTTTCCTTAAACAACTGAATGCCTTTAACAGGACCAAATCACCACTTGAATGTTTTGTTGCTTAGAAATTTCTTCCACCAGATATCCTAAATCATCTCTCTCAAGTTCAAAGTTCCACAAATCTCTAGGACAGGGGCAAAATGCCACCAGTCTCTTTGCTAAAACATAATAAGAGTTACCTTTGCTCCAGTTCCCAACAAATTCCTCATTTCTACCTGAGACTACCTCAGCCTGGACCTTATTGTCCGTATTGCTATCTGTATTTTGAGCAAAGTCATTCAACAAGTCTCTAGGAACTTCCAAACTTTTCCACATTTTCCTGTCTCCTTCTGAGCCCTCCAAACTCTTCCAACTCCTGCCTGTTACCCAGTTCCAAAGTTGCTTCCACATTTTCTGGTATCTACAGCAGTGCCCTACTCTACTGGTACCCAATCACTGCATTAGTCCATTTTCATGCTGCAGATAAAGACTGGCCAATATGCAAAATAAAGAGATTTAACAGACTCACAGTTCCATGTGGCTGGGAAGGCCTCACAAACATGGTGGAAGGTGAAAGATACGTCTCATATGTCAGCAGACAAGAGAAGAGAGCTTGAGCAGGGAAACTCCCACTTATAAAACCATCAGATCTGTGAGACTTATTCACTATCATGAGAACAGCATGAGAAAGTCTTGCCCCCCTGATTCAGTTACCTCCCACCAGGTCGCTCCCACATGGGAATTCAAATGAGATTTGGGTGGAGACACAGCCAAATCATATCAATTGTATAGACTGGTCTTGAACACCTGTCTTCAAGTAATCCTTCTGTTTTGAGCTCCCAAAGGCCACTTTCATTTGTCTCAAAAATTATTTTAGTGTCCCTTTAAATTTATTGATTGATCCATTGGTTGTTCAGGAACATGTAGTTTATTTTCAATATATGTCTAAATTTTTGAAAGTTCCTCTTGTAATTGATTTCTAGTTTTATACCACTGTGGTCAGAAAATAAACTTTATATTATTTTAATCTTAAATTTTTTAAGACTTGGTTTTTGTCCTAACATATGATCTATCCTGGAGAAGGTTCTATGTACAGTTAAGGAGAATATCTATCCTGCAACTGCTTAATAAAATGTTTTGCACATGTCTGTTAGGTCCATTTGATCTAGAGTGTAGTTTAC